CTGACCTCAGCAGCCGGTCCAATCGAAGCTGCCAATACTGGCTACAAACCGTCCAATCTGCAAAGCATCCCTGGCTACCTGGGCCCGCGCGCAGGGCCGGGTCTTCCCCCCCCTGCCCAGGTGACCAGAGCATCGCCTCCCAGGCGCCAGGCTTTTGTCTGCAGACAGGGAGCGAGATCCCCGCTGTGAGAGATTCAACAGCAGCCTCTCGGGCTGGCTGAGACAGATCTCTGGAGAGGGGCACCGACGGGGGCATTTCTGCCACAGGCACCACAGTGCTCTGTGACACCTCCCCTCTGTGTATCACCAGCTAATTTCACCAGCACACTTCTGCATGTTGTGCTACTGTCCTTAATAAAAACCTCCGTCAGCACGGCCCTAAAACTGATCCTTGAGGAAATCCACAAGTCGCCGCTCTCCAGACCAAAGCTTTGCCTTTCATCCCAGCCCATTGCTGTCTCCTGTGTGACGCACTTGCCAGTCCTTGTACTAATCTGTGTCTTCCCGCACCTAACTAATAATAATCGAAGGGGCACCATATCAAATGAAGTGCCCGTGGGTGAGATCTGCTGCATTTCCTTTGTCTGTCTAATCAACTAACCTATGAAAACAAGCAACCAGGTCAGTTTAATATGATCTCTTTTGGATAAACCTCTGTTGCATTTCATGCCATTTGCCTCCAGGTCTTGTTCTGTCCTTGAAACTCACCTCTAAAGCCCTGCACGCTATTGATGTCAGACCGGGGGGCTGCAGTTCCCAGGGCCACTTTCACCAGTGCATCCGCTCTCCTGCACGTGGCTTATCTCGCTGCTGACCCACTCGGTCCTCTTGTGTCTTTCAGACGATCATGCCCGCGTGGTGCTGCAGTCCGCTGAGCCATCGTCTGATTACATCAATGCCAGCTACGTAGATGTAGGTACCACGGGATGCGTGTGCAGCCTCTGCTCAGCCAGGAGGAGGTGCCAGGGAAGGGTCTGAGGGCACAGGGGACCTGTCTCTTCAGGGCAGCAATGGGGACTCACCCCTTTCTGGGCAGCCTTTTACATCCCTGCTTTGTGGTCATCAGGGGCTAGGCAATGGCTAACACACTACAAACCCCCAGTGCACCGGAGGGAGGTGTTCAAGGCTGGGCAGGCACCGGGCAGGGATGATCTAGATGTAGCGATGCCTATTTTCTCCCATGGATATTTCACGCTACCCTCCTTTGCCCGGGACTGGATGGTTTCTGACAAATGCACTCCTCCAGAGCACCGTGTGCAAGCAACCCCGGGGCAGCAATCTCTGCTCGCAACCTGACTTTCTGAAGGAAAGCAATGCTTGGGTGCAGAGAGCAGCAGGCAGGAGCTGGGGTGTTACTGGGGCGCCTGCTTGCTGCTCCAGCTGCTTGCAGATGGAGGGCTGTGGGACGACGTGGCCACTTGGCTGGTGCTGGAAGTGTTTAATTTCATTGGCAGACACAGCTTTTTGGGTAGAGGTGATACCTTTTATTAGACCAACTAAAGAGTTGCAAAAAAAAAATGTTCTGTGCAAGCTTTTGGGCCCACAGGCCCTTCATCAGGTAAAGGAGAAACTGAAGCTGTTACGAGTTCCCCAAGGTAGAAAAGAAGCCAATTTGTAAAAAAATGCAAATGCAGAATAGTTTGGGAGTCAATAGCTGGTAAGAAGCAGGTGGGTTACCTGGGGTTGTCAGATGGCAAGCAGGATGTAGTGTGCCTTACAGACGATGTCAATATTTAGTACAGGATTGGAAAATATAGTAATTAAATTAATTACATATGTATTCGTCATATGATTTGTGCTGTCCGTCTCTCTGCCTCCCACAGAGCTACAGGAGCCCCCGCTACTTCATCGCAGCTCAGGGTGAGTGCTCCTGGGTACGGGGCCAAGGCAGGGCTGGGCACTTGGCTCTGCTCAGTCCCAGCTCTGGGCAACTCGCCGTCCGGCTCCCCCGTTCCCAGGACATGGGCTAGCAGTGGAGGAGCCGCCAGCCCAGCTCAGCCCAGGGGCCCACCTGCCCTGGTCCCCTGGCTCCAGGCCTGGTGCAGAGGGAATGGCCAGGGGGATGCAGGATTACCAGCCCCTTAATTGGCATGCTAAAGCTAGCTATCACCCCCTCCATGGTGACTTTGCACCCTGGCTTTGCTGTAGTGACTTCCCTTTGTAGACAAGCTCTGATCATATGGGGAGGATTTTGCTTTCCAATGTGGTTTTCCTGGTTCGTGGCCCTGGCCCAGGGGTGGGGTGAGCAGGGAGGCCTGTCAGCTACAGCAGTGTTGCTGCAGGGCTCTGCATGGATGGGTTTTGCATGAGGTGGGGGATTGCTCAGGTGAGCATGCACCAAAGAGCCAAGACTCAAAACCCTTCTGCATAGCTTGTGTAGTGAGCCTCTGCTCTGTCCTACCGTGAGGTCCACTGGGCTGAGCACAGGGCGAGGGTGGGGGCTTCCCACTGCACTCCATGCCCTGCTGCCTCCAGTGTGGGCATGTCTTACTGATGTGGCGCTTCCTCCCACCCAACAGGCCCTCTGCAGGGTACGGTGGAGGACTTCTGGCAGATGATCTGGCAGGAGAAGACCTCAGTCATCGTGATGTTAACTGACCTGGTGGAGCAGAATAAGGTAGAGAAGGCGAGGACAAGTGCAAAGTCCTGCACTTGTGATGGATCAATCCCATGCACCGGGGCAGGCTGGGGGTGACGGGCTGGGCAGCAGCTCTGCTGAAAAGGACCTGGGGGGACAGGGGATGATAAACTGAACAGGAGCCAGCCTTTCTGTTCAGCACTGGGGAGGCCACATCTGGAGTCCTGTGTCCAGCTGTGCCCCACACTACAGAAAGGATGTGGACACATTGCAGATAGTCCAGTGGAGGGCAACAAAAATGGTTGTGGGCCTGGAGGACAGGACTGGTGAGGAGAGGACGAGGGAACTGGGCTGATTGAATCTGCAGAAGAGAAGACCGAGGGGGATTGAATAGCAGCCTTCACCTCCCTGCAGGGGGGCTGCAAAGAGGATGGAGCTGGGCTGTTCTCAGTGGGGGCAGATGGCAGGACAAGGAGCAATGGGCTCAAGCTGCAGCAAGGGAGGTTTAGGTTGAATATTAGGAAAAAGTTTCTGACCAGGAGGGTAGTAAAGTAGTGGACCAGGCTCCCCAGAGAGGTGGAGGAGTCTCCATCCTTGGAGGTTTTGAAGCCCCGGGTAGACAAAGCCTTGTCTGGGATGATGCAGTTGGGGCTGGTCCTGCTTGGAGCAGTGGGTTGGACTAGATGTGACCTCCTCGGGTCCCTTCAACCCCCCAGGGTCTGTGATTCTGTGATTCAAAGGCAGATGCCTTTGAGGCCCCCGTCTCATGGGGTCAAGTCCCATGGGTCGAGGCACTTGCAGTACCTTTGCTCTTGATAAAGCTCTGGCCCTTTCTGGGGGGAGCAAGGCTCCCTGCCCTCAGAGTAGACTCTTTGAGGAGGTATCTCCATCCTGGGGAGCCCATGGGGATCGGGCCAATGAAACAGGGGAGGAAGTCCCAGAGGGAGCAGTGGGGCAGAGCTGAAAGTGGGGTCCAGACTCTCCTCCTCTCCCCAGTGCCCTATAGTCCTCCCCCCCATGGGGTATTTCCCCTTGTGTTAACTGTGCCCTCAAGGTAGCCTGAGGAAGGTGGCTTGTGCCATGAGGAAGCCTGGGGAGGTCCAGGGGGTGTGCTGTGGGTAGTGCCTGCAATGCCAGCATGGCTGGGACATCTTGGGCACAGCTGAGGTCTTGGACCCCAGCTTGCCCTTCTCAGGCCAGACCTGGATCCATCTTGCAGGCCCATTCAGGGCTCCCTTCCTCACCCACGAGCGCTGTGGCAGCTGAATGGGGCTTGCCCGGGCCACACGCTTGCTCATGCTAGTGCTCAGAGCTCTCCTTGCCGTTGACAGACCAAGTGCAAGCAATACTGGCCGGAGCAGGAGCAGGAGTACAGGGACATCACGGTGACACTCAGCAACATGAGGATCACCACGGGCTTCATCACACGCACTTTCCGCTTGCAGAAGGTGAGTTTGGCAGGGCTGGGAAAGTGTGCGGGGCCAAGTCACCCCTGGCATGGAAAGTCCTTAGCATCACGGATGCAGCAAGGCCACCCTGCCCTTTGTGGAAGCTACTGGGCAGAGGGGAACCTGCAGGCCCAGGGTGAGCTTCACTACGTGTTTCGCTGGAGCACGGGGCAAACGCCCTGAGGCTCACACAGGGGTGCTGCCGCTGGCTGGGTCCCCAGAAATGCCCTGCAATGGCCAGTGGTGCAGTTGCTGAGATGAAAAGCACCCTGGAAGATGGGGTTTGGGGGTCTGTGCAGGGTCTGTCTAGAGAAAGGACCCTCCTCAGTGTCACCTGTCCCAGCAGTTACCTGCAACCCCCTGGGTATCACCTGGCCCAGCCCCAGCCTGATGCAAGAGCTGTTTCTGAGCCGGCTCCAAGAATCACACAACTTTCTGGGAGCAGGCCCGGCCGTCTCAGCCAGTGCAGGATGCCATCTGGGCGCTGTTGGCTACGTGGATCCAAAGCACTGTGTCATTAGCCTGGCACTTGACGGTCTCTGAGCACTGGGATCCCAGCACTGGCCTGGGTGGACATTGACCTCAGAGGGGGTCCCGCGTGCTGGTGGATCCTTTCCCACTGCTGGCGCCTGCATCCTCGGTTCCCTGGTCAGACCCCTGAGATGGTTTCCACCACGCTCAATTTTCTTGCAGGCGGGCTGTCCCCTTCCGAGACTCGTGGAGCAGCTCCATTACCAGCTGTGGCCAGACCACGGCGTGCCCCGAAACCCAGCCCAGCTCCTGCAGCTGGTGGAGATGGTGAACAAGAGGGTGTCGGAGGCCTCGGGTGGCCCCGTGGTGGTGCACTGCAGGTACCGGTGGGGAGGGCTCCTGGGGGGCCAGGGGCCAGGTCCCCCGACAATATCCTGACTCTGTCCCCTGTTTTCAGTGCAGGGATCGGCCGCACGGGCACCTTCGTCGCTCTAGACTCCCTCCTGAAGATGGCCAGGGCCGAGGGCAAGGTGGACGTCTTCCAGTGCGTGCAGAAGCTGCGGGAGCAGCGGGTCAGCATGGTGCAAACCAAGGTGAGGGCGGCACCTGCCCCAGGCCAGCTTGTCCGGCAGGCAGCAGTGTCTGGGGGGTCAAGCCCCGTCCACTGCATGGCCCCCGCGGCGAGGGGTCCTGGAACAAGGGGTTCCTTCCTGTTCTCCAGGCACCTCCTGTGATCTGCCAGGTGTTGTCTGTGTAACACCCTCCCTGGCCAACAACCTCCGCTCCGATCCTGGCTGGGTGCTCAGCTCCCCCAGGGCCCTCGGCCTGGATCTGCCAGTGTCCCGGCTGCGCGGGGTTGATCACCAGCAAGCTCACCCCCATTGTGCTGGATGTCTGGGGGGTCCTGGATCCCTTTGCTGGGAGGATCTGCCCTATTCTGCCAGGCTCCAGTCCCCCTAGGTGTGTCTGCTCCACATCTGTACCACACGTTAATACCTGGCGGGTACCTGGAGCGGCACTGGCAGGGTCCTGGGGATGACACCACAGGAGATTTTCAAGGGTATGGGACAAAGCATGGCATGGGAGAAGGGGAAGGCTCTGAGGGTGTGGATGGTATGCCGTGCCTGGATCCTCCATCTGCTCGGGCTACCCCAACATGTTGGGGTGACCCCCGGGTGCCAGCAGGCTGGAGCAGGGCTGTGACATGGTGTTACCCTTGCAGGAGCAGTACGCCTTCTTGTACGAGGTGCTGCTGGAGGGGCTGCTGTGCGGCAACACGGGGGTCCCGGTGGAGAACGTCTGCAGCCACGTCGACCATCTCAAGGCGCTCGACCCCCAGACGCAGACCAGCAGGCTCACGCAGGAGTTCAAGGTACCAGGGACCCAGGGAGGGGCAGGGGTTGATCCCCCTGCACAGCGCTGCTGGGTTTTCCTCCCAGGGTGGACAGACTTGCTGTGGGGCATCCTCAACCCACTACTGTCAGTGCCTCGGTTCTCCTGTCTGCAGTCTGGGAGCAGCATTCACGCGCACCCGGGTGCCTCGGCGTCTCACCGCTCAGGCCTGTTCTCCAGAGTCCTTCCTTTGGGCTCTCGCCCTCTGTAGCAACCTAGTCCATGTCCTGCACCCCACACCGTCCTCACATGGATTTCCTGGCACCAAATGAGCCCTCCACAGGGCTTGTTGCACCCCATGCAGCTCACTGGGTTAAACCAGTCAGGCTTTGCTTTGCCTGTGAGGCTTGTTAGCCCAAATACATGTGAACAAGACGTAGGCTATGCACGCCCTTGGAGTGCCCTCCGGCTCCCAGTCTGGCTGCCTTGGGCCGTGCTGCATCAGCTCCTACAACCAGGAGTCCACGCAATCAAAGTTGTGTCCCTCCAACCCTTATCCTCCTCCTCAATTTTATCCCAGCTCTGGCTTTCCTGGTGCCTATTCGCAGTTCGCAGCCGAACATCCATCTTCTGTTGCCTGTGGCAGGAGTCTCCTTCCTCTGCCAGCTCCGGGTCCAAGTGCCTTGCTCTCCCCTTGCAGCTGGGCTTATAGTCCTGCCCCTTCTGGCCTGTTCAGTAATGGGATCAGGGGTCTCCCAAGACCTTTTATCACTGCAGAGATCCTACTGTTGAGCTGGTGCTTTTGCTGCAAGCCAGGACCCTGCGCTCCCCCGGAGCTGGCCTGGCCAAGCAGGGAACAGGCTCAAGCATCTCTGGGCTGAGCAGGGTGCAGGGCTACTCCCAGAGCCGGGGGCTCTCCAGACATTTTGCACGACATTTCCTTTCCCCCTCGCTGCTGCTGGGGCCCAGCCCAAGATGCAAGTAGGACCCACTTGTGAAATGAGCCCCTCCGTCCATCATCTCTGGCTCAGGGCTGCATCTCTGGTGTCACCAAATTACAAGCAGGCCTGAGGGGGTGGGGGTTTAGCCCCGAGAGGGGCATCCGGGACCTGGGAGCTGACTCGGCTGCCCTGTCCCCTCAGGCACTGCAGAAGTTCTCCGAGCTGTTCCAGCTCTCCGCGTGCAGAGAGGCCGAGAAGCCCAGCAACCAGCCCAAGAACCGCAAGCCAACGATCCTGCCAGGTGCCATGGGGCCGGGCTGGTGGGGGGCCACACTCCGGGGTGCAGGGGTCCTGCTTTTTGAGGTCTCTCCCTGGCAATACCTTCCCTCCTAGGTCTCAGCATCGTTGCTCCCAGCCCTCTTGGGCTTTGCACTAAGATCTGTCCCCAGACCGCAACCAGTCCCCCCCAGCCCGTTTGAGGGCAGCCGGGTGGACTTGCCCACCCTGTGCAACCCAGGAGGTCAGACTGGATGAGATAATGGTCCCTTCTGGGCTTGAAACGTGCAACTCCAGGGGTCTCGCTGCAGCTCGGGGAGCTTTTTTTCCAACCCAAATTCTCCAGGTTTTGGGGTTTGTTTTTTCATCCCAAGCACCTTCACCTACTGAGGCTTCCCTGGGCCTGCTGGGGCTGGAGCATCTCTAGTAGTGCTCCGTGCCAGCACCGGAGGCTGGCAGCATGGAGCAGAGGGCAGCTGCAGCCTTCCCCAGGGCTCGTGCCACCAGCGTGGCCAGCCCAGCCTGCTCCACGCGGCCTGAGGGATGCCGTGCCAATGGTGGCTGCTCCTCTCATTTTGTCCCGTGTATCCTCCAAGGAGGGGCCCTTGGGCGCTGGACCTGGATACCGGGGCTTCTCCACCAAAGCCTTTGGCTCCTGATTTCAAGCTTTCCGTAGCCATCTGGCTCATGTCCTCCTTTCTCTGCCCTTTCCTCTCCCAGCGGATCGCAACCGCCCCATCCTGATGTCCTCCCTGAAACTGGACGGCTCGCCAGGCTACATCAACGCCGTCTTTGTCAGCGTAAGGCTCCAAACCCCTGTGTCCTGTCCAGGTGCCAGGAGATCCCATCGGCCCCAGCCCCAGGGCAGGAGCAGCCCCTCCAGTCTGTTGGCCCGGGCTTTGTCTGCTCTGCTTCAAAACGCTGCAGCAGCGTGGTTCTCAGTCTGTCTCCATCCTGGGTGCTAGGAAAGAGCCCCTAAGGATCAGGCTAAATGCTCCCAGAGCCCTGCCCAGCTCCCCAAGCCGTACCCCAGCATGCAGCTACTGCAGCCGAGCTGTCCTCCTCTGCAAGGAATTCAGTTTGAACCCAGTATGGGGGAGAGAAGGGACATGGGTTTGGCTCCTAGCTGCTCTGAAGTGGGGTGTGTCTATCCCAAGTTAGTGCGGCCCCTGGGGCTTGGATCTGGGCCCCCAGGATGGCTTTCCATGCCCCTGGGTTGTATCCCCTTGACCTGCCCAGATGGGCTGGACTGAGCAGAGCAGCACGGTCAGGGCAGGACGTGGCACTGAAGGACCCATGCGGTGCTCTGCTCTGCGGTGGCTGGACCCAGTCTGCCTGTCTGTCTATCCATCATGCAGACGTACACTGAAGATGACCGTGTGATCGTCACCCAGCTGCCGCTCAAGGAGACAGTGGTGGACTTCTGGGCTCTGCTCTGGGACTACACCT